TGTTGTGCTAAAAATAGCTAAGGCCATCAATGATTGTTGGGTAGGACAAATCTTAGTGTCTCGAAAAATTCAACTTTTAATAAACAGTTTAATGTAAAGAAATAATCAACGACAGTTCATACAAACACAAAAGTGCTTACTACTGGGGTGTTCATACCCTTGTGGACGACACGTCTACCAGCAAAATTCTTATTTGATTATAACCCGTATTATACAGTTAGGGTTTGTAAACACGTAGTTTGCGACGCTTTTGCAAAATTTTGTTTAAGTTTTAAGTACTTTTAATTGTTCAGCTCAGTCTGCTGAGATATGGACCATTAAAAGTTACTATTGAGATTTTCAGTTTTTACACTCACAAAATTAATGACCTGATGCAAAGGTTTAAATACCTACTGTGCAGTTCCCATAAGGCTCCCTGTGTGAAGACCAACAGGAATACCAACCGATAAGCCAGAACATATGGGAGTCTCCTGTGATTCACTGGAGTGACAGCTTCCACCTCTACAAGGATCTCTGTAAACAGATAATACCTTATAATCTATAACACTTAGATATCATATCACTATTCACCACTACTAGTACTTACGCTCATCTATTTTAATTAACAATGTTGAATGTTAACTGAATATTGTTTTCCCCAAATAACCGTGGTAAATTGTTGAATTTATAACCTATCATCATGACAAATGTAATTAATTTATGATAGGTTGTACTTCTAAAATTATCAATATTACCGATGGCATTTATTACTAGTAGGCTGAACTCCTAAATTGTCAATACCACCAATGAATTATATGTCTGTTACAGTTTGAATATTTCAGATACATCTTTAGTTACAACAATGTACATGTATCAAAAATTAACTATATATACATCTATAAGCAATAGTTTAAAGATGTGTATAAGGTACACTATGTACATAAAATCACTTTATTGTTAGCGAGAAAAGTTCTAAGTAATCCAGTAGATATAGATATAATGACATACTTATTTGATTTTATTTTACATTAATAATACTGTATTCTTATTATTGAGAAAAAATATTTATTGTTTGTCATTGTGTCAACTACCCAACAACCATAAAAAACATCTAAGTGTTCATGTTTAGATCTAACTGCAAATTGTTTTCAGTAAACATTTCGTTTTAAATGTTACAACTATCCAGGTACATTTTATGCAGTATTTGTTCTAAAATATAAAACGACATATGAAGTGTTAAGTGAAATATGACAAATTGACGTAAGAAAACATGAATAAAGAAACATCCTAGTTATCCAGCTAAAAGGTATTTTTTTACAACCCAATAAAAGGCGTCTAGTGCGAATTTCAATACGACACATTCTTTCGTAAACAGTATCCATCAGGACAACATGTTGTGGATAGTTAATATCATAAGCTCAGAATTCGGTGCTTCAATCTGAAATGATTAATTAAATACGTTTCGTAAATTACCCATTGGTAAATGTGGAAATTATTAAAAACTGTTTAAGGAAAAGTTTACCTGAATGAATTTGGCTATTATTTATATATCCCTTTTTGTCGTATTCAGATATAAACAAATCTTTTTCTTTTAGTTTGAACATTCCTCATGAATGTAAGATGAAACCAGAAACTAGCCTGAACATTATTATATTAAAAAAAATAGTTTTGTATGGGATTGATGATTATGAATATTTTTAAGCATTGTGTTTTGTTCAACATCAATTTCTTCCGTTCTAAATACGATGTTTTATATGGTTATAACATCTAGGTGTTGACATTTTCCAAAAGCTAATTTAAAGTTCATTTCTAGTGGACAACTTAAGAAAGACAATGGATTTAATCCAATGGACACCTTCAAGCACAACTTGGCTCAGTTCCCAAATTAAATATGTATAAATCAGCATTTATTGGACTACATCTGCGCTGCAACTTTATATGCAATATGTTTCTGTTCTATTTCCAGTAAGGCAAAATTTATGTATCAACATGAAAGGGTCATTTCTTCGGATGGTAATATTTGATATTTGGAGATTACTGAATTGATCTGATATCTAACGCCACTAAATGCCATGCACGAATTCAAGAAGAGAAGAATAGTTTAGAAAATATGTCAAATCGATGTCTCGGTACTCTATGGTGAGAACAGTTTATTGTATCATAAAACCTGGATAATCTATTTACCCTCTATAAGGTATTCTGGAACATTATTATTGTGTATTTTATGACATAAACATAATTTACGTGCTTTCCTCTAGAAGTTAAAGTTACCCATACAGTTTAAAAAAAAGATAGTGATTCTTTGATGCATATCGTCTCCGGCTTGCTTAAGCTGCAAGCGCTCATTTTTTTCAGAATCCTTCGTGCAGCACATATCATATAGCTCGCATGCATATTCTACAAGTGGTGTGTATGCAAAATATCTTATTAAGACTGTTTCTGTGAAGAATGAATTTTAATTTCCTGATAAAAATGAGATATTTAGTGGCACTATGTCAACTGTTACCTATTTGAACTATACACTTGCAGTTGTTACAAAACGTATAATCTACATTTTCGTGGTCATCAACTTTTTTAATAAATTGTCAAAAAACCTGTACAGCTTAACACAGCTTAATAAGTCATTAGGACGAGAGTTTGAAACCATCGATTGTAATGGACATTCATAAGACCTACCAAGGATTAGAATATAAGAAATATTTACTCTTTGGCCATGTTATTACTTTTCGATATGGTAAAGTTTGATTGCAATTGGCTGGGCTTTTACAGGAATTTTCCTTTTAAGTTCTTTGCAACTCAGAATCGAACGGAATTAAGCTCACTGAAAAAAATGATCACTTTACTGCAAATCACCAAATCATTATGCGTCTGATAAGGACTATATTGGACGTCTTGACATCTACATTGTATTTGGTCTCGTGTCAAGAGAGTGGAAATTATCCTATTTATTCCATTAAATGGTAATTAGGTAAAATGTTTCTATGAATGAACTTCCTTATACTATTTCTGGTATGTTTGGTTCAGGATGGCACAGTATAATTTACATGTCTGTGTGATCTCTATATAATAGTGGTCGTTCAATCCGAAGAGAATTCGTTTTTTGTTATAGTTACCTTTCAATCCCCAGCCTTTTACAATTGGAATGTTTTGCCTTGTAACATATGTACAATGCATAACAAAAATTCCGAGCTCTAAGGTAGATTCATAAAGTGGAAGTAATAAAAACTAAAAAAATCAAACGTTATCAACCAACGGAACGAGTGGAAAACAACTGTCATATTCCTAATCTGGTATCGGTATTTTTCGAAGAAACATCGTGGGTTGAATCTGGTTTTATAGCTAGCAAAACCTCACCCTTGTATGAATGTCTATAGTTCACTTATATTGACAACATTGAGTAAGCAACCCAAAAATACATAATAGGTAACTGTGACAATAATTGCCAATTTGGGATCAATTAGCCAAAACTTTTAAACATATACAGTGTATCACAAAAATATTGACCACGAAATTCAAACAAACATACAAATAAATCCAACAAAGACACCAACAAAAAAGTTGATAGCAAAGGAGTAGGCCCGGTAAGACCCATTTTTGACCCCAAAAATATAGCATTTTTACAAATAAGTTTAAAATGTTAACTTTTAGTTATTTTTTGGAAGAACAATACTTTTGTCACATACATATTGGTTGTTTTTTTACAATACAATGCGTCAGGAACTAACATCATTACTTAACAAAAAATTTACTAAAATCTTCACAATTTTAGCATAAAAAGTAAATTAACAAAAAATACCGAACTCCGAGAAATTTAAAAAGGGAAAGTCCCTAATCAAATGGCAAAATCAGAAGCTCATACACATCTAACGAATTTTAGAATTTTTGTGCTAATTTTAGACGTATTTTGTCTAAAATGAAAGTGGTCGTACTTGTGTTCAGTCTTAATTTTTAAAGCTGGTTGTATTAGATGATCAAACACATATATATATAAAGGATGAGACTGGACACAAATGCGGCCACATACATTTTTGACAAAAACCATCTGAAAAGTGACATTCTATGTCATATTTGATAGATTTTTTTCCAGCTAGTTTTTGAGTGTCTTTAATGACCAAATTAGGTTTTTTTTACATAAATTATTTGAATCGACTGAAGTAGACACTAAAGTGTTTAAGGAATGTCAAAATTTTTTCATCAAATGTACTTCAAATTTTAGTCCAAAATAAGCATTTACCGGACCTACTCCTTTGACAAAAAAGTGTTTTTAGTTGACAGTATATTTATAAAGACGTCGATAAAAAAAGTTTTGAAGTAGATATATATATATAGCAAAAACTATAAATAGTATACTCTTTTTTGATAAACTACAAAGTAAGCGAAATATAAATACAAGAGTAAACAAAATGAAAACAACATTGCAAAAACCTATTGCGTCCGAATCGAACCTCATGTTACATCTTGGTTCTTTCCGATGAAATTTTGAGAAACAGGACGAGACGTTCTTTGACAAAACCCTGGGTCATTAATAATTTTCTCAGACATCCATGAGGTTTTACAAAGTTTGAGTAGTAGCTGCAAACTCTTGAATATCGTCTGAGTTGAGAAATGTATACTCAATACGCGGGTGAAGTTGATATATTGCTGCCAAGGTAAGTTCGAAGAATAAAAAACAAATGAAAATCTATACCATTCAGAATCAAGTATCAAGAATCGAGTACGGCTGAGTGATCTTTAAGTTTATAAAAGATTGGAAATACGCTTGTAATTTCATACACAATCTTTAAAATGTGATATTTAAGACATCGTGGCTGCCACAACTGCATGATACGACGAAACTTTTTTGAGTCCCAATTCCTTTGAAAAATTATAAGAAATGAAGTAGAATTGAAAAATGACCTATCAAAATCAACAATTACATATGACAGCCATGTTTTTCATCGAAAGATCATTTCAGGCCGAGCAGTGGTAGTAAATGGTCTGTGCGTAGCAAGAAGTATTATTACTTGTGAAGATGAACTTACTTTTGAATTCCAAGTATATCGTGGATAATATACTGATCCAACTGTTCAGGTCTGCAGACAACATTAATCACCGGTGTATTTTTGAGTGCAGATAGATCAAAACGTGTGTGAATGTTTGTGAGTTTAAGGAATGCCTTTTCCCATTCGCTTAATTCTTGTAAAAATTCAACTGGGAATGTTATTTTACTTCTTATGTGTTGCATTTTGTCTTTTAAATCTTGAAAAGATTCATTTTGTCGGATTATATTGTGATCAAAGCTGGACATCTGAGATTTCAAAATTTCCGAATCCCGAGCATAGGAATTTATCGTATCTTCCCATTTAGAAACGATGGAGCCTACCGAACTCTTGAGAGTTGCAAGAAAACTTGAATTTCGATATTTCTCGCATATTTCTCTTAAGTCATTCCGTTTTTTATCTAAATTTAAAGCAAACTGTTCAATTTCTTTTTCAGTTTCGACAAGATTTCTTCTCTTCCGGATATCACTTTCCATGAGGCCATAGTGTTTATCACAATCGTCATGTTTATCCTTGAATGACCTACAAACCAATCGACTACATGTAACACAATATGATAATAAATCCATCCATGTTTGATCACATTTGTTGCATGTATATATCTCATCAACAAAAAGTTCAGATCTATGGGATCTCGTAGATCTTTCTTGAAACAAAAAATCCTCACGTATCTGACAAGTATCACAAATTTTTGAATAGCAGTTTGTACATGCATCTGTTTTGGCGACCAATTTTGCTGAACACTCTTGATTAAAATCCATTTTGATATGAATTAAAAATTATTGCAATTGCATATTTCATACATCCTTCATTAATCGTGTAAATATTATTATTGGTTTGAAATGTCTATATCACCTGATACAGTAAAAAGATAAAGCTAAGTACACGTTAAATGAGCGATCATGTAATATGTCTAGCCCATTCTATATTTGTTTTGGAATATGCTGTGTATGTATTTAGATTTATTGTATACCTTTATATAAATCTGAAGTTTGTTTAAATGACATGATAAATGATCTTACACTTCTTTCAAAAGCAATCACGTGGTAAAAAGGTAATTTAACTTTTTCAGTTTACGTGTGCTCTTCTAATGAATGAATAAGTATTTAAAACGAAAGTTAGTATTATCTTATCATATAAGTACAGATTAATAACTGCTCTGATATAACTATAGAATGCGAATGTGGTAAATGTAAATGTCTTTTTCTGGTCTCATTGAGGTTTTTTTTTTACCCATTTCACTTATTATATTCCAAATCTTTTATCATAAAGGTAACCAATAACATCTGGCTAGCAACTGGGTAATAGTCCAATTTGTAAACCCTATCGAGGTCACTTGTTTAAAGGACGCATCACAATCGCTGTGACCTAATTGAAATGAAAACTAGGTAAGCTATGATTAGAGCTCAGAAATTATGCCTCACACATACATAACTACCTACTTTTATAGAAATCATCAAATTCCTTTGTTTTCCCGGGAGAAGCTAAATGCATTAAAAGTTACTTTTGTATTAGAATTTGAAAAATGTGTAATGCAGTATAATAAACAGATATATAAATGTTTAAAATGAATCCTTGGAATAAAGTCACTGCTCATAACAATCTCCACACCAATAAACAACTCAATGGATCATGAAAAAGTCAAATTTTTATCGATATGTACATTTTAGCCAGGTGACTATTATATAGAATAGTCGATAGCTTCAGTAAATGGTCCATGAAAAATGCATTTAGTGTTTGTCTTTTCGTCGTTTTTTTAGCTCACCTGGCCCGAAGGGCCAAGTGAGCTATTCTCATCACTTGGCGTCCGTCGTCCGTCGTCGTCCGTCGGCGTCCGTCGTCGTCCGTCGGCGTCCGTCGTCGTCCGTCGTCGTCGTCGTTAACTTTTTACATTTTGAACTTCTTCTAGAGAACCACTGAATGGATTGAAACCAAACATGGCATGAATGTTCCTTATGAGGTGCTGACCAAGTGTTGTTACTTTGTAGCCGATCCATCATCCAAGATGGCCGCCAGCGGGGACTTAGTTTAACATAGGACCCTATGGGAAATACATAAAAATGTCTTCTTTTAGAGAACCACTGAATGGAATGAAACCAAACATGGCATGAATGTTCCTTATAAGGTGTTGACCAAGTGTTGTTTCTTTGCAGCCGATCCATCATCCAAGATGGCCGCCAGCGGGGGACTTAGTTTAACATAGGACCCTATGGGAAATACATACAAATGTCTTCATTTAGAAAACCACTGAATGGAATGGAACCAAACATGGCATGAATGTTCCTTATGAGGTGCTGACCAAGTGTTGTTACTTTGCAGCGATGGCCGCTAGTGGGGGGGGGGGGGCTTAGTTTAACATATGACCCTACGGGAAATACATACAAATGTCTTCTTTTAGAGTACCACTGAATGGAATGAAACCAAATATGGCATGAATGTTCCTTATGAGGTGCTGACCAAGTGTTGCTACTTTGTTGCCGATTTACTGTTCAAGATGGCCACCAGGATATTTTATTAAATAACGGGACCAATATTAATCCAAATTTGGCCTCAATCATTATTTGGGTATCTGTTATGATTTTTATCTATCTTTACATGATTTCTAAAACAAAAGTAGAGTCAGGTGAGCGACACAGGCTCTGGAGAGCCTCTAGTTTTTTTATCTTAGTCGTGGTTTTGTCTGTTCTTATTCGACATAAAGTTTTTTATTGTCCACTTGGTATCTTTTCCCTCTCTTTTCAATTCAATTTAACTTCATTTTATACCATTCAAACTCTATAATTGATTCCTATATTCTGTACAAGAGTTGGTTGGAGTCAAAAACCAAAATGAAATTGGCCATCTACTGTCTTTTTTAGATCACCTTTCTCAATGGGCAATGTGAGCTTTTCTCATCACTTGGCGTCCGTCGTCCGTCGTCGTCGTCCGTTAACTTTTACAAAAATCTTATCCTATGAACCTACTAGGCCAAATTAAACCAACCTTTGCCACAATCATCATCGGGGTATCTAGTTAAATAAAATATGTCCGATGACCCCGCCTGCCAACCAACATGGCCGCCATGGCTAAAAATAGAACATAAGGTAAAAATGCACTTTTGTCTATTATTTTGAATAGAGAAAGTCTGACAAAGCAAAAATGTTCCTAATGTTCAGCTCTACCAATACGTCCTTATACGTCAAAATTGTCTGACGACTTCTTATAGGAGTAATTGCCCTTAAATGACAAATTCTACCATATTTTTTTTTCATTTTTGCCTATTATCTGGAAAACTATAATAGATACAGAGAAACATTAAATTGCAAAATTGATCAGCCAGACAAGTTCTACAAATACGTTCCAATGTTGCAATCGTCAGCCGACTCCTGATTAGAGTTATTGCCCTTTGATGATGAATTTTACCAATTTTTTGTGTTTTTGCCTTATATCTTAAAAATCAAAATAGATAGATAGAAACTTTAATAAGCAAAAATGATCAGCAAGACGAGATCTACAATTAAAATAATATAGAGGAAATCATCGGCTGACGTCTCCTTGGAGTTATTGCCCTTTAATGACGATTTTTTTCATATCATTTTTGGGGGGTTTTGCCTTACATGATAGAAATTATAATAGATAAATAGACACTTTAAATCGCAAAAATGATCAGCAAGGCAAGATCTACTAACAAGTCACATTTTGCTAAAATAGGTAGTAGGCGGTCACTCCTTATTGGAGTGACTGCTCAGCCCCTTAAATACGGATTTTTTACCCTCTTGGGGAAAAGATAAAGAATATAGAGAGAAACTAAACAGACTAAATGATTAGTAAAAAATGATCAACAAAACAGATTTTTGTCATGAACTTTATTCTCGTCTACAATGTTGGAGAGTGCTCTTTGTTAAATATGCACATAGACCAAGGTGAGCGACACAGGCTCTTTAGATCCTCTAGTTCTTCTTCAACTAATTGGTTTAGTTTTTCTATTTGATGGAATTGAGAGTTGACATGCTTGAAGGTGGACAAAGGGTTATTAGCCATAATTACTAATATTACTGGCCCTCTTAAGCTTTTCACATATTTTATATATTATCCAATGTCAACAAGGGTCATCAACTATAATTCGTATAAAATGAATCATGTTCCTACATATGTTTTCCAGTTATAAAACTTTTAGTGATTTTTTTTTAGGGTTTTAAAAGAATTTTATATTGATTTTTCGTATCATGTTATATATTTAATTGGCTATGTTGATAGATTAAAGGTAAAGTTTAATACAAATTAGAAGCAAGACTCCTCAAGGATATAAGTCTTCCAGTTTAGTACATAGTCAAGTGTTCAGACGAATTTTTGAGAAAGCAAATTATGAGGACAATGAATGACCTGATGTCAAAAAAGATGTAATAACAAATGGGAATGTGTTCACTGGACACAGATGTCTGCGCTTGCATACAACGTTATAAAGGGTCATAACTCAAGAACTGTAAAAGTGATGCTACACAAATTCGTATTTGATCTGAGTTTTGTGGTAATAAGCATCGTGTATAAGTTTCATAACATTTGGTTAATGCAAACTTTGGTAAGAGAACGGAATTAAAAAAATCAGCAATTTTTCCATTTGTAAAGGGCATAACTCTAGAATGGTAAAAGTAACGCCACCAAAATTCAAACTTGATCTGTGTTTTGTGGTAATAAGCATTGTGTATAAATTTCATAACGTTTGGTTGAGGCACACTTAATTTAGAGAACGAAAACAAAAAGAATCAGCAATTTTTTACATTTGTAAAGAGGCATAACTCTAGAACGGTACAAGTGACGCCACCAAAATTTAAACTTGATCTGTGTTTGTGGTACTAAGCGTTGTGTATAAGTTTCATAACATTTGGTTGAGGCAAACTTAAGTTAGAGAACGGAAACCAATTTCGGGACGTACATACGCACAGACCGACAGAGGTAAAACTTAATCCCCCCTCCGCTACGGCGGGGGCATAACAAAGCTGACAATGGCAAGTTAAGCCAATACAAGGCATGATTAATTAAAGACTTCCATTTGCATATATTTTGGGAGGTATAAACAAATATTTTTGCAAAAGATCGGGTTACACTAATGTCCTGACAATGTCCTGACTGATATGAAAATGCTAATTTCTTTTTTATTTTTAAAGGGGTGACTTTAAATTTGGAACCAAGCAAGATGACAATATTTATTTAATTAATACAAGAAAAAAATTGAAAACAAATATTTTTAAGAATTAGAAAACTTGACCTGACTAACTTCGAATTTGTACTGACTAATGTCCTGACCGATATGAAACTGCTGATTACTTTTTTATTTTTAAACGGATTGACTTTAAATTTGGAACCAAGCAAGATGACAACATTTATATAATTAATACAAGAAAAAAAATATCTTTAAGTTAGAAAACTTGACGTGACCAATTTTGACTTTTGCTGACTAATGTCCTGACCGATATGAAACTGCTACATACTTTTTTCATTATTGGAAGGATTGACTTCAAGTTTGAAACCAAGCAAGATAATAACATATATTTAATAATTATTCGAAAAAAATTGGAAAAATAATATTTTAAGGATAAAAAAAACTTGACCTGACCAACATCGACTTTGCCGTGAAATATAAAAATGCTAAATATATTTTTATTATGGGTATAATTGACTTCTTATTTGAAACCAAGTCGAGTTATAAAGTTTTTTTATACCTATCATAAACAAATTGGAAAACAATATTTCGAAGGTAATAACAACTTGATCTGACCACCATCAACTTTATTCAACTTAATACACAAACACTATAAGTTCTTACCGTATATTTTCATTGAAATTATATTTATCCTATCCATAAAACACAACATCCAAAGCAATCAAATATTGTTAAATGAAAAGATAGGGGAACTATAAGTATAGGTTTGCTGACTGTGAGTATTGCTTACCCCTCCTTTCATAACCCTATTTGTTAATTTGATTAAGTGCAAGTAATGAATT